AAGGTCACTTCAAAGGCTTATGGCTATGCTCTCTAGTCTTTAGAAGCGCCCTGAATGCTTTGTGTGGGGTTTTCCCGGGCACAGTTTAGTGTTTGCAAACTACTGAGTCGACAAATTGCACAGGGCAGATGCAAGAGAGAGACTGAGTCTCCCTCCTTCCACCTGACCGGAGGCCAGCGCATGCTGAGCCGCCTCAGTGGCGGGCAGTTTGGCTTGGTCGTAGTTTGGGGTTGGAGATAGGGAAGGTTGTTGCTTTCTTAGGCGGTTTATGGCCTAGTCCCGACCTAGAACTGAGCGGCCCAGGCCCATAATGGTGTGAGTATTCTCTAACACATCCAGAAAAGCTAGTTGAGTCAGAGATATAACGTCCAAATCAGGATATAGCTAGCGCCTAACTCCCGGTTTACTCCGGCCCTGAGGGGGCAGCTCCAGTAACATCCACCCAGGTGCGCCTACGAATCTACCCTCCTTTCCTGTTCCCCTAACCTGTAAGCTTCCTCCCACCTTCTTTCAGGGCTTCTCTGAGAGGGCTGACCCACTTGGCTCACCCCCTGGTCCTTTCCTCATGACCAGGTTCTCTCTCCCCTCCCCCACTCAGCCAAAGATTTTTGCCCTCAAGCTCCCCTGGATCCAACTGTGTCTTCATTCTGTTGGGGCCAAAGCGTCTGGAATAGCTGCAGGCACCACATACAATAGTCACATTGATTATGACACCCTTAAAGGGGGTAAAGGCTCTCCTGGTATGTTTGTAAGCCAGAACCGGCCGTTACTGAGTTTTCCATTTTGTTCCAGATCTGCTTCCACAGAATACCCAAGAAAACGGAAGAGCCTACAAAAAAAAGAGTTAGATATAAAATTCGAGAAAATACACATGCAAAATTGTGGTGAGTGGGGTGATTTAAATAAACAAATAATCTGCGCTACATTTTCATGCCCCCTACCCTTCAACTCAAGGTAGCCATCCCAGGATTCATACATCAAGACGTAAAACAAAGGGTGGCTTTGAAGTGGATCACCTCAGTGTGAACTGCCGCCTGTTACATGAGAACCGATCATCGGCCTTCAAATTTATGGCGCTTTAATAGAGTGCGTCCGCTGTCTTAAATGCAGGGTATGTTACAGTACTGAGTTATCCGACCTAAACAGGAGTGATTTAGAATGGGCGTCCTGGGCTTCCCAAAGGGCAGAAGAGGCTCAGGCAGAGGGGTCGGGAGAAGTGAGCAGTCAATTCTCTTCTCAGCAAACCCGCTGAAGACTGGTTTCCCAGAAGTGGCAAAGCCACCAGGGCAAAGAGTGTCATCGCTCCGTTTCACTGAATTAACAAGAGTGCCCAGTAAAAGTCGTGGCCTCCAGGATGAGATCCGTGGGTTATTATTGGAAGACCCGGGTTAGGCAAAATAGGGAGTGGAGGTTAGATCAATTTAAACTTCCACGATTTTCAAGAGAAACTGACCCAAGCAGTGTCCCATCACCTCCCACTTCTGACACTCAAGACTGGCACCGACTGACGGTGGTGGTCCGCTATTCACAACCACAGCAGCGCTAGACACAGCCAAAGGCTGTGGCCTCCCTCCCAGCCCAAGCCTCCCTCTCCGGCGGCCTTCCCGCAGACGCCGCGGGCGGGCGAGCGAACGCCTGGCATCCATCGAGTCTCCTAGAGTCCCAGACCAGGCGGGCAGCAGGTCTGTGGTCCTCCGCCGGGCTTGCGATCCTCTCTTTCCAACTCGGGCTGCCGAGCACAGCTGCTACTAGGCCAGGCTGGCGCCGGCCACTTTATATAATCCCGCAGCTCTCACGCAGAGTGTGTAAACGGGGAAAAGTGCGGAGTAGGGGATTCTTTTGCTGTGCTGCCTCCTACGCGGAGCCTGCTTTCCACTTCTGAAAAGTGCCGGGCCTTGGGAAGTGTTTTTCTTTTCATTCCTTACTGAAGCGTTTACTGCTGCCGTGGTCACAGTCATAAATTTTGTTACAAACCACAATGACAGGTGCATTGATATGCACCGAGAGAGCTCCAGCTGCTTAATAACCCTGTCCCCTGGCCGCTGTGAGCGCCTTTTATTTATTCGGTATCATATTAGGTATTGATCTGGGCAGAATTAAGTGCAGTGAGCAAGTATCAGGACTCCAGTGCTTCTGAGGCTAGGCCAGCTGGGCGGGCCAGCATGGCTGGAGAATAAGTGGTAGGAGCTCTGAGAGGGTGTCTGGCCTTCCTTCCGGTTGGAAACCATTTGGCCCTGTCTTGGGCTTGCCTTTAGGCCTCCAAATTGAGTTGGGTAACTTCCAGGGACTTTGGAAAACGACTAGCCTGTTTGTTTGGAGACTCTTCCCTAAGAGGTCCGGGGTGCTCCAGGGGACTGAGTGGCTTCACAGTCCCATTCCTCGGGCTGGAGTGAGGGTGGGGGGTGGATGGGAGGAGGAAGAGGAGGAGGAGGAAGAGGAGGAAGAGGAGAAGGAAGAGGAGGAGGGAGAGGACCAAAGTAAGAAGTGTGGCCAAACGGCCCCTCCCCTGCCCCCCCCCCAAGCATCTGGGTCTTGGTGCTCAAATGAGCAAAGGTACCAAAGGGTGAGAAAAGAAAGCCTGGGGGGGGGGTGATCGAAAAGATGAGCCACTGAACAGTTGACCATTGTCCAGATGATTTATGACCCAGCCCTGCTTTTTAGGTTCAAGCAGAGTTCACAAGGAGTAGGGATTTCTGGAAAGAAATAAACTGGTTTTTTTTCAGTTTTGTAACAATATTCTCAGGTCACCATGCTTTGGAAGAGGGGCTTCTTTAGGGCTCTGTCTTGTGGGTGCTGCGAACAGTTTTCTTCCCTCCCCCAAAGAGAACAACACAGTTGCTACCTTTGCTTGTAGAGAAATGGACATTAGGCCATAAAGTAGGTCTGGAAATTCCTTAAGACAGTGTAAACAGGCAGGAGATGACTCTGGTTGCATGCTCTAGCTGTACTTCTGAGTCTTTTTTTATAGAGAGGGTTTTCTAGGGACATGCCACAGAGCAAAAGTAATATGCAAAGACATTTGTCCCACAGGCTTGCTTAGTTCCTCAAGAATCTAGTTTAATGTGACTGGTCCACCTTCCAAGACAAACTTGGTCAACAAAGAGGTAGGACGGGATGTTTTGCTTCCACAGTTGTCAAGGAATGACAAAGCAGCAGCAAATTCTGGTGGTCTCAGAAGTCTGATGTGACCATTTAGACATCCAGAAGTAAGCATGATCCCTGAAAAGCCCTAGAATTTAGCAAGCCAGCATGCCAGGTTCTTTGACCTGGGGCAAACATATAAATGTGAGTCATGAATGAGGACTTAACTGTCCATTTGCTGTTTGGTAACTCTAGCAGTCAGAGATTGTTATTGAAAACTAATCAGATGAATTAGTCTAAATTTGTTAGGTAGATATCTTAACTGCACACATTTATGTATCACTGTAACCTACTGGGAAGGGCCCATCTCTCATCAAGATAAATGACATATTTACTTATATTCCTAAAAAAAAAAAGGTGGGGGGACAATACTGCCAAACAAAGGCTAATTTGGAGAGTTTTTGAAGTTAATTGGGCTTTCTGGGGAAATTACTGTAGAAGTATTTTGGTTTCTGTGTTTAAATCTGATTTGCCAGAAGTTACATGATAGGTTCTCTCATAATGATGGAAGCCAGGGAGAGTTTTTGGAAAGAAACCTTGTCTGAAAGATGAGATCAAGAATTAAAACCAGAAAGCTGACCAGTGAGTTTTCTTTATCAAACAGACAAAAGTGATTGAATGATATTAGTTATACATTAACTCCTCAGGAATCTTTCAGAAAGGGTGGGAAAAGCATCCCCCATGAAGAGTCGGGGCATACAAAAGGGGAAGAATTTTTCCTATTCCCCCCATCCTTCTCATTCTGGGTCCATTCATCATGTCATGAGAACTTCTCTCATTGGTTATAGGTTGGATGGGAGGTGGGGCAGAATGGAAGATCCAGAGCAGAGGTCAATAACAATATCTGTTTATGTAAAGATCCAAAGGAAAATCATAAAGTTATGACAGTACTCACCATTTAGTCACACAACAAACATTTCAAAATCTAGATGACCCATTTTCAGGGACACCCTTCTAAAAGTAGGAAGAGGACAAAGTAAGGGGTGTGGAAAAGTGTGGTGAAATAACTTTTTTTTCTTCAAAGTAAGTCTGGGAGTCTTTGAGTCTTCTTTGCTTTTTACTGCCTAATTTTTTACACCATAGATTTCATATTGCTGACCCAGAGAACTAAGTGTGTGGATTCTCACCCTGCCATCCAAGTGGACTGTCTGGGTCTTCAAAAAAGATGGTGTGATTTTGAGACAAGATCACACCATTTTTGAGAAAAGATACTTTTGAAGGAAGCTCCGGGAATTCTGGGTGTGCAGTGGGACTTTTTCTTTCATCTACCAAAACACTGGTTTGGGGGGATATGAGACCCCACATAGCACACACCAAGCCCTGAGGTTGATTTCCAGCACCAAGCAAAACCAAACCCCAGGATTATCCAAACACTGATGGTGACCCATTCACCCAGCTAGTCAATAACCATTTATTGCACTTACTACATGCAGGGCACTGTGCTTAATGCTAACAGTATGTAGATGAATAAAACATAATCCCTCTCTTTTAGGAGCTCATAGTTTAGGGAAAGAATCAGCCAGTCACAAATGGTTTCCTGAGCAGTCTCAAAATCTCTGTTGACAATCTTGGAGAAAGACAGCACTCCAAGAGAATCATGGGTTGGAAGGAGCTCCTTCCTTAGGTTAAAGTTGAGCTCAGGAGAAGGAAAGGTCTTTTCTTACATTTAGGAGAAAATTTCCAACTTTTTCAAGAGTTTCTATAAATTGAGCCCCATAAAACCCCCAGTCCAGAACTTTGCCTATCCTTCCCCTTCAAGGTGAATGAATGGGAAGCTGAGAGCATGCTCTAGGCCTTCTATCTTGATTGGTCTTGCCAATGACAGTCCCTCTAGGATCTTTCACTTTTCTTCTTGGCAGGTTACCTGGAGCCTGGGAGCTGGCCCAGCTCTCTCAAGATTCAGCAGACCCTGGCCTTGGTGAATAAGGAGACAGTGGTAGTCAATGTTATTTGAGCAGGGTCAGCAGGCCCTGGAGCTTCCTGAGTGCACCATGCAGAAGGCTGCATACTATGAGAACCCAGGACTCTTTGGAGGCTATGGATACAGCAAAGCTGCTGATGCATATGGCTACAGCACTCCTCATCAGCCCTACCCACCCCCTGCTGCCACCAACTCCCTGGACAGTGATTACCCAAGTTCTGCCTGCTCCATCCAGAGCTCGGCACCTCTCCGAGCCCCAGCCCACAAAGGAGCTGAACTCAATGGTAGCTGCATGAGGCCTGGCACTGGGAACAGCCAGGGTGGGGGTGGTAGCAACCAACCTCCAGGTCTGAACTCAGAGCAACAGCCACCACAACCTCCTCCTCCACCACCCACCTTGCCCCCATCCTCACCCACCAATCCTGGAAGCGGAGTGCCTTCCAAGAAGACCAAGAGTGGGCCCAATGCTTCTAGCTCTTCATCCACCATCAGCAAGCAGATCTTCCCCTGGATGAAAGAATCCCGACAGAACTCGAAGCAGAAGAACAGCTGTGCCACTTCAGGTAGCTCTATAAGCAGGCCATCCCTGGACCACATCCCTTCAGATGGACCCCAAGACCCTTTTAGGAACCAAGGGACTCAAAGCTAAAAGGGCAACCTTAGGAACAATGTATCCAAACTCCCATTTGTGTAGAAATGCCCATTGGTTTTTAGTGACTTTGATTGGGTACATAGCCTTGCAGAGATAGGGTACTCTTTTATTGCTTGGTCCAGTGCTGGACTGGTCCCATACTTGTTAATAGAAAGTCCTTCCTTATACTGACATATTATCTGCCTCCCCAGGCTGCTGGTCATAACTCAGCCTCCTCTTCTACCCAATAGCCCTTCAAATGTGAAGATAGGTTCAGGTAGCATCTTATACCCATAATCCCACCACTCAAGCCTGAGACAGGAGTGTATTGAGTTCAAGGAGAGTCTGGGAAGTGAGTTCCCAGAAACCTTTAAGAGACCTTTTGAAAAATAGAAACCCAAGTAGAGACAAACAACACCTAAAACAGAAGAAAAAGACCCATGCCCAAATAAGTTATAAACATTATCCATTTATTTCATTTAACTTTCCAAAGAACTCTTTCAAAGAGATACAAAGTAACATCCTCACTGCTCCCAGATCCACAGAACTGCAGAGTGGTACACTTGGATGTAACTGGTATGGCTTCAAGGCCATCACGGCATACCCATGAGACTCAGCCCACTCTAGTGAAACTCTAACACGGAATGGCATGTTCTAGGGGGAGAAAATAATTAGAAACTAGAGCAGCTGTCCCTTTCTTGCCCTTGAAAGGGACACTCCAGAGCTGAGAAAGACTTCTTGTGGTCCATTCCGAGTTTGAAAGAAAGTGGGCATGGTGAGAGACTGATGCCTGCTGGTTGCTCAGGCTGCTGCTTCTTGAAAATGTCTAGCTTTGTGTTCTTGGTAGGGATTATTTTCCAGGTCCAGGGCTAGTCTGAAGCCTGGGATATGATTTGTTATCAGGTCTCTGTTCTCCCTGATGCTCCCTGGGCTGGTGCTCCTAAGGGAAAGTGTCTTCCTGCCTGCAAGCTCCCTCCTCTGCCCCTCCCTCCTTAGCTGAGACACAGGCCCTCCCTCCCAGGAGAAATCCATTTGTCTTCCCAGTGAAGGAGTGGACAAGCAGCTCAGGGGTGGCAGAGGAGGTGAAGCCAGTGCTGAGGCTGCTTCTCCTAGCATTGCCATATGCAACATGCTTTCATGCTGGCCTTGGGATCCCCTAAAACTCCAGGGCAGTATCTTTGGGGAGGGTATTGTCGTCACCTCCCTGACTTTAGGTGCACCTGGCTTGAGTGGGGGTGCCAAGAACCCCTACTTCCTTCTTTGCTCTTTGGAGTGTTTGACCTGTAAACAAACAAGACAGGCGGGAGCTGCCTCAGATCCCCATCTTAGTCCCCAGCCCCAAGCAGCAGAGGTTGGGTGGGATGTTCAAAGAAGTCTGGCTCTTTTGGTGGAAGAGTCGCACAGCTGCTTTTAGCCCCACAGTAATGTCTTCTATGGCCTTTGGGTTAGAATGAACGGATGGGCTAGGATGGAGAGGAGAGAGAGGGAAGAGTAAAGGCAGAGAGGTTACAGGTGTGACGGACAGATAGGCCCAGAGGTGTGTGGGATGAGTGCTCCCTCAGACTTTCACCTCTCACAAGACCCCACCCTGCTCTAGACAGGGATGGAGGTGAGATTGAGAGGAACGCAGTGACAGAGAAGCACCTCTTTCTGTTCTGGGGTTCCTTACTCCTGGCTCAGCACCCTCTCTATCTCCCTCCTTGCCCAGGAGAGAACTGCGAGGACAAGAGCCCACCGGGCCCGGCATCCAAGAGGGTGCGCACGGCGTACACGAGCGCTCAGCTGGTGGAGCTGGAGAAGGAGTTCCACTTCAACCGCTACCTGTGCCGGCCGCGCCGCGTGGAGATGGCCAACCTGCTGAACCTCACCGAGCGCCAGATCAAGATCTGGTTCCAGAACCGTCGCATGAAGTACAAGAAGGACCAGAAGGCCAAGGGCATCCTGCATTCTCCGGCCGGCCAGTCCCCTGAGCGCAGCCCACCTCTTGGAGGAGCGGCGGGCCACGTGGCTTACTCCGGCCAGCTGCCGCCGGTTCCCGGCTTGGCCTACGACGCCCCCTCGCCGCCCGCTTTCGCCAAATCGCAGCCCAATATGTACGGCCTGGCCGCCTACACGGCGCCGCTCAGCAGCTGCCTGCCGCAGCAGAAGCGTTACGCGGCGCCCGAGTTCGAGCCCCATCCCATGGCGAGCAACGGCGGCGGCTTCGCCAGCGCCAACCTGCAGGGCAGCCCGGTGTACGTGGGTGGCAACTTCGTCGATTCCATGGCGCCCGCGTCCGGGCCGGTCTTCAATCTGGGCCACCTCTCGCACCCGTCTTCGGCCAGCGTGGACTACAGCTGCGCCGCGCAAATCCCTGGCAACCATCACCACGGACCGTGCGACCCTCATCCCACCTACACAGATCTCTCGGCTCACCACTCGTCTCAGGGACGCCTGCCCGAGGCCCCCAAACTGACACATCTGTAGCGGTTGCCGCGGGCCAGGCGCAATTACCTCTCTGGTTTTGGTGGCAGGGGTGGTGGTGGGGCGGGGACCGAGGGGCAGTTTAGGGGAACCCCTCTCCCTGATCTGGCCTGGCGGATGCCTCACGAGGTTCGGGCTTCCAGCGGCCGGGGCTGACGCGACTGGGCCTCCCCTCCAGGCGCGTCCTCCTTTGGGTGACTCGCCATAAATCAGCCGCAAGGATCCTCCCCTGTAAACCTGACAGTGCCATAAACTGCGGACCGAGGGACTCTAATCTGGTAATGGTGTCCCTAAGGTAAGTCCTAGACCCATCTGTGACGTGTTCTGAAGAGGGACTAGAGTCTGGAGAACCCCGGGCCTGGGCCTTCTGTCTAGCTTAGTTTCAGAGACCTTAATTTATAATGCTCCTTCCCCTCCTGTAAAGATTGCATCGGACTAAACAATCTGTATTTATTATTTGAAGCGAGTAATTTCGTTTCCCTGATTATTTATCCTCGTCTTAATGTATTTATGTGTATATTTGTAGAATTCTGCAGCCGGGCCTAGGTACTCGCTCCCAGGCCTTGGGGGGGGCCACATTTCACCTCTTTAGTCTCCTTGGTCTGAACTAGTTGAGAGAATAGATTGAACAGTTGTAACCGTGGCTGGTGTCTGTAGTTGATGTAAACGATTGAGATCACAAATGGTCCTTCATGGGTAGAGTCAGGCAGCCTGGTGGCATAGCACGGCTCACGCTAGTCGTTTCTCAACAGCCGAAGCCCTCACCGCTCGACACAGCTTATTGATTTCAAATTGTCTGGTACTATTTGAACAAACATTTAGAATAAAACATTTTTTCAGTTGGAAGTGTATCTGTGTTAATCACACACATCTGCAAACAGATCACTCTGTCTTTATCCCGCTGTATGATCCAGGGTTGGGGGAAAGGACCCTCTGAAAAATATTTTATTTATTCGGAATCTATTGCACAAAATAGAGAAATACTTGATTGCATTTAAGCTCTTAAAATTGGGTGGCAGTAACTAGAGAATGCAAACCTCGATACCTTCTATAGGGCTTTGCCAGAGCAGCACCTGCACGGATCTTTCTACCATTTCTTCCTATTCATGATCATCACACGGGGGGGGAGGGGGTTGTGTGTGTGTGTGTGTGTGATTTTTCTGCGTTAGATAATAAAAATTACTTTGAGAAAAACCCTGACAATCAAAGAAAAAGCATAAGAGAAGCAGGAAAGATTAAGCTGTGAAAGCTAAGGCGCTGTGGTATACAAAGAAATGATCCTGTAGAACAAGCATGGAGCTTTTTTTTCCCCTCTAGGAAGTGCTCACAAATTTTTCCTTTATAGTAGTTCATTTCTAAAGAAAACAAACCTTCACAATGTAAAATAATGAAAACTTCATTAATGGAACCTAACATGTATAAACAAACACCTTGCTTACTTCTGTTTCTTTGTGCAAAACGGGCAAAAAGTCTACAGAATTTATAATCGTTTTGTAAATATTATTAGTGTGGCTCTAGCTAGGGTCGAGCACTTACCCCCACTTCTATAGAAGGGGGCACTTGGTAAAAAGGCCTTCAGACAAGGTTCAATTATTTTGTATTTCAGCAAAGTCCTCCCACGCATCTCTAGTTGCTTTTGGCAAATATGCAACTCCCACTCCCATAGCCTGGTGACACGAGGTGAAATTCCCATTGTGTGGAAATAACGTCTACTCTTCGGATGCAACAGCAATCGTTTTCTCTTTGGATGTTTGTGTTTCGCCCAGTAACGATGGCTCAAAATAATTTTTAGTTTCCTTGTTCCTTTGTGCTGTTTTTAAAATGGCATGTTAGGCTGGGGGTGGGAGGGGGATATCCTTTTGCTAAATTTCACTCTATCTGAGCAAGTTTAAAGTATATATGTTGTAGAATTGTATCCACAGAATAAATGACTTCAATCGAAGGCATATTTTACCCACTCTCGAGGCTTAACATTGTTTTCTCTGAAACTTGCATTCATAGGCAGAATTTATAATTGTAAGAAATTATTTTTTAAGCTATTACGGAAATCAAAGAAATGCGAGCTGCCTCGTAGGGCACCACAGCCACCTTTCTTAAGTGGCTAAATATTAAATAGATGAATTGTCAGGCTGTTTAGATTCAGCCCGGTTTCTCTCATCTCCTCTTCATACCATAAATAATAATAAAAATACATAATGCATCATGGCTCCAGGCGTTTCCCAGCGCGGTGTGTTACCGCAGGAGGATCTGCTGAGTCTGCGGGTGTCTGCAAAACCCCAAGTGTCATCTGTGGCTTAGGGTTTCATGGATTAGACTTTAAACAGTGTCTAGCCCGGCTGACATCAGCTTCCTCTCACACATAGGCTCTAAGGAAGTGTCAGGTTGGGGGTTCCCACTCTCTAGGCAGCCGCAGCCTCGCAGGCCCCGCGGTGGAGGGAGGATGTTGGAAGAAGGGGGAGGGGTCGCTTCGACCAAACCTGCCGGCTTTGCCTACCTTCTGAAGTTCTTGGAGACTTCAGAGAATTGCTCGGTTCTTTCCTGCCACTAACGCGAGTCACGTGATAGGCACAGCCGCTCCTAGCGTGGGTGGGGGCGGTGGCGAGTTCTGGGAGGGCACACTCCCACGCGGCCGCCCGCCCGAGAGAGCTGGGCCCGCGGCACAACCATTTAAAACTTCATAAATTATAAACAAGCCGCCTTGGCCTTCGCCATAAATTCCGCTCCTCTTGAGCCTGCAATTAGTGTTAGGAAGCACCCAAGTCTAAACACAACCAAACGCCCTCTGAAGGGCCCAACTGCCCGAGATTGCAAGCCTTTATTTATTTGCCGGTGCCACCCCCTTTGCACTCGAGGCTTGCACACAGTCACCTCCTCCCCCGCCACCGCGGGCAGTACACACTCCGCTGGGTTCCCCGCTCAGCCCGGGAAGGTCACAATAGCAGCTCTATCCACCGAGGCGCCCGCCGCCTCCTCCCTCCCGGGTCTTCGAGAAGCAAAGAAAGAAGTGTGGGGGAGGGGAGCCTGGCCAGCAATGGCGCCCGGGTCTTAGGCCTCCGCTCTCGCTTCAAGACTAGACGCGGGAAGTTGGCATGGGTAGGGAAGCATCCCCTAGCTTGTCTTTCTCTCACGAGAATCTTCTCGCCCACGGCGCTTCTCTGCCCCCAGAGGCTTCACCGCCCGGTTATGGATGCCCCAAAGCAGTTAGGTCTACCCGAAGCCCAGAGTCCATTGTGCCAGCGGCTTCCTTTCTGGTCCTCTGCAGAGACAGCATTAGCCACAACCGAATAGGTGTCAGAAGGGAGGAGTACCTAGGCCCCTCCGGAGGGCGTTGGTCTTGGGAGGTCTACGGGGCAGGATGACTTTGTTCCAGTCTTGGTCAGACCTCTTTTTTCTTCATAGCTTTTGGGGCGCGGGGTGGGGTGATAGGGGAGATTGGGCAGATTGTAGATCTCCGGTAGCGTTGAAGGACATTAGATCTAAAGGAAAGGGGTCAGGTCCTTGAGCATGACTCACGGGTGGCAGTCATTTGGGCCTCCCTGGTTGTTCTGTCCAGACAATCAAATATGGATTAAGGTAGGATGGCAGTCAGGCAGAGATATGGCCCTGGTGCAAATGGAAGTGGGCGTGGAGGAAGAGGAAACGTTTTCCTCGCATCCCGGGAAACCTCGGGATCCATTCTGGAGTGGAATGCATAGACCCAACTGGGCAAGCCAGAGGGTGGGAAGTTGCCATGGAAAATGCTGAGAGTAGCCCTGGCCACTGCTAAGGTGGTTTAAAAAAAAAAGAAAGAAAGAAAAGAAAAGAAAAGAAAAGAAAAGAAAAGAAAAGAAGAGAAAAGAAGAGAAGAAAGTGAGATCAAGTACATACTCTGCTTTCTAGCTTTCAGACCAACCTCATCCAGGGAACTGACAGAGAAAAATCTGCTTCTGATAGAATCATTAAATTAACCATCCATTTGTACCATTTCTTTGTACAGGCTTTCAAATGGGAGAGAGGAAGAGAATGTGGAGCTTGTACTTCCCCTTGGTTCAACCCCAAGCCCAGTCCCTGTCAGAGATGTGTCAGCTAAATTGGTTTCTGAGGCCCCAGAGAATGCTAACCTTGCTGAACAAGAGTTTTCAAATTTCTGTCTATAAGAACTACTAACGGATAGTGCTTTCCTACACTAGCTTCTGTCCTTTCTCCCTCACTGGGTACCACTACAGTGAGGTGCAGTGCTCTCTTCAGCCACCAGGCTTGGAAGCCCTGGCTCTCCATCTGTTGAGGTTTTCCTTTAGAGAGGGTACAGAGGAGAAGGGAGAGGAGGTTGAATAACAAAGAAGCTAACTCTTCCTTCCATTTGTTTGATGGGGGGGGGGTGTACAAGCTTGTTTACACCTTCAATATTCAAGGGATTGTTGCAGGTCTGTTTTGACTTTACCAGAAGAACTGGTTGAAACTTTCTTGTGAAGTCAAGAATTGAGTAATCCCAGTTTACAGGTCTAGGAAGGTCTTCATCTGGGAGTTCTTGACAAAACTTTGGTCCTTCTTTGAGAAACTTAAAGAAAATAGCAACAGAGGTATATGAGTATGCAAGAGTCAGGAAGCCCAGACTCCCCACCACCACCACTACCCCCAGATTTTGTCTCATCATTTTTGGGCATCGCAGTCTCCCAGATAGGGTATATTTAGAACTTAGGTCAATAGACCTTTGGGCGTTGAGACACTTAACCAACTGAGACTGAGTTGTCCCTAGTCAAGCCTTACCTAACCCACACTTTAAAGGGCTGGCTCTTCTAGATTTCAACTCTCAGGAAGCCTGGATGGATAGCAAAGGACCAGATAGGTGAGTCCTCTGCCCTTCCTGCTGTGGGGCGCTACAAGATGTGATGAGATCGCTTACCTTGTTTTCTACTCCACTACAAATGCTCTTACCTTTGGGGTCCGAGGTCGGTGTCAAACAGATTTATAAACCTGACCTGAAGCCCTTCCTTAAACATTTCCCTCAGGTCTCACATCCTGCTTGTCTAGTTGCAAAGTTCAAAGACAATCCATTTTAGGTCAGGTCCAGTGTGAAGCAAACTGAACAGATTTCCCACTGGCAAGAGGCCCAATACCCAAGGGTGCCCAATCTTTTGCCATTGCAGAGAGATATAAGTGCCACCATGCCATCTCATCAGGTCTGTGGGGTTGGAGGCCATTGCAAGTTTCTTTGCGTTCTTCATCTTACGATAACTACTTTTAAAAACAACTTGGGAATTGAACTAATGGTAAATATGGCAGATGGCAAATCTATACTCTACCACTAAGCTACATACACAACCCGTGGCAAAAACACTTTGGTTCCTTTGGCTAGTCTGGCTCATTTTTCAATAAGGTCTGGAAAAATTACCAAAGTGAAGTTTAACTTTAAAGAGGACCAGAGGAAGAGGAGATCTCGGAATAAGTCAGAATTCACGGAAAGCTTTTGGTACAGATGATGGACCAAGGGAGCAGAGACTAAAAGCAGGCCTGGAGAGCCTGTGGGCAAGGCCCTTTCTTAAAGAAAGGAGTCTGGAAGCCCCTTTAATGGCTCTATTGTTCACTTCCTTGGCCTACAAATACCCTAGCCCTCCCCACCTTCTTCTCTGGACCGCGCAGGAAAGTGGGTCACACCAGGAGAGCTTTGGGGAGTTGGTCCCAGTGTTCCTCACTCCCGTCTGCCATTCTTGGAGCAGCGCCGATGCCATCACTGCGGCTGGCAGCAGAACACAAAGGAAGCCCTAATTCGGTCCCTGGACCTTAGGGTCACTCTAAGTAGGAGGCTGGTGTGGTTTCCAGTCTCAGAGCCCCGGTCGCCCGCGGGAACAATAGCGGCCGCCTGCCCGGGAGGTCGGGCGCTCGGCACAAAGCCGGCTTGGTCCGCGCGACCACAGGACGCACGCGCTGACCCGGCTGCCAGTCGCTTGCCGGTGTTCCCGCGTCCACCTGGAACTCTCCGGGAAAGACAAACGGTGAGTTAATCACCCTACCGGCTGGCGGCCGCGTCCTCTGCGCCCGCCCTGGAGGCGGGATGGGGAGTGGGGTTCTTCTGTGTGTGTGTCTGGGGTGGGGGACGGGAAAGGTTACTCCTATTAAGAGTTCATCAATCACCCGGTGTGCACTTTTCGCTCGACAGCGGTTCCTCCTTCTTTAGAGCAAGTCTGGGCCAGCTGGGAGCCGACCAGAAACCGCAAGCGGAGGAGAC